ATTCCCTTGTTATAAATTTGGACGTCGTCCCCTGATAGGCATCCGTCATCACGTGGCTATTCGGTACTTTTTCCTGCGAGAGGATTGCCGGAGTTAGGTACTTGGGAAGAAGAGCCTTCGGCCTTGTTCCCAGCAGATGTTTTTCCTACACGAATCAACGGCATTTCTTTAGATTCTGAGCTAGAAGGGAAATACATAAAATCACTTGAGGAATTCTGAGAATTCTAGAGAGATAAAGCTTGAAAATACGCGAGAGAGCTTAGAAAGAAAAGCAAGGAAACAGCAAGAAAAATGAGGATCAAGCACCTCTCTATAAATAGAGAAATTGCCGCCCTAAAAACCTAATCCGTGAATAACACGTGACATGGCGTGATTATGGTTAATCAAGGTGCATTTATGGTTCATTATTAAGCACGTACCCCGAACGGACAATGAAGATGCATGATTAAGAGTACTGGTCATCGAGGCAAGCGACTGTCGAACGGGCACTTATGTTTTGAGGCAGATCTTGTCACATAAAGGAAAGCAACAAGGTCCATAAGAACAGATATACTACTCAGATCGCCGATTACCGTACAACGAGCCAAATAACTAAGATGTTTCAAATTAGCCGACTGACGAACGGGCTCACAGAGAATTAACAAAGAACACAGAGAGTTGCCGGTTAAAAACAAAGCTGCTAAGTCCTAAAAAATGATTAGAAGCCCGAACGGCTATCAACATATGAAGGAAGCCAAATGCGGTGGATTATCAGAAACATCTGAAGCCAGAAAAACTGCTAAGTCCTAAAAAGCGATCAGACGCCCGAACAACTATCAACATACGAAGGAAGCCAAATGCGGTAAAACTGAAGGAAATGTCTGAGGCCAGAAAAATCAGCTAAGTCCTAAAAAATGAACAGAAGCCCGAACGGCTATCAACACAAAAAGCAGGGGGCTAGTCCCTGATAAATTGTCAGAACTATCTACTACCCGAGCGACAAACATACGATGTTAGGAGTATTGAGTAAAAAATAGTCAGAAAACCGTTAAGTCCTACAAAACGGACCGAATCCCGAATGGCGAGTAAATCATTCGATAAAGGCAAGAAAGACAGTATATAGAGCTTTATGCAAAAAAGATATATATATTCATCGGCTCTATCAGCCGGGAAATACAAATAAGGTTTGCAAGGAAAGAGGAAAAAGGAGGAAGGGATTACAGTTGCTAAAATTATTAGATTCTAATCTACTGTTCTGCCCTATTGTCTTCTTCATCACCCTCCTCCTCATCTGAGTCAGTGGGGGGATCAGGCTCCTTCCCCGCTTCACTGTCAGCAGCCCGTTGCAAGTCCCGTTGATACTTCTCATATTGGGCTTCAACTATGGGCGTTTGAGGAAGATCAGCCAGCTCGACCGGCCTCCCTAGCAATTCTTGGAGTTTGGTGACGAAGGGGGCCATGATGTGCTGGCAGCCCATGACGTACAGGGATCGTGCCAAGGAATCATTGAATTTTCCCCCCCTTGGATCCTGGTCGAGCAGTTTGACCCCCTCGCTCCGGCGGGCATCACCCGTGGAGAAACGCTCGAGATAATCACCAAAGGTGACTGGGAGTTCCTGTTGCGCATAGTCTTTCTTCAAGATAGCGAACTCCTCAGACCCTTTGAATGATTTCCGGACGGCAGACAGGTCAACCTTTACTTCAGCAGGGCCGTCTGGGATACGAGGGGCATGCTCTTCAAACTTAACCAAGGCAGCTTCGGCAGCATGAACCTTGGATTGAGAGACCCCGAGCTGAACCCGGAGTTCACCAAGCTCCGATTCGAGATGCTTCTTCTCTTCCGCATAGGCCTTCCGTTCGGCCTCCAGAGCAGCAAAAGCAGCAGCTGCATTCTGCTCCGCAGAAGTCTGAGCGACGATCACCTCCCGCTCCTTAGCCAGTCGAGCTTCCTTCAACTGCAAACTGTAAAGCCCAACCTGCAGAATGTCGTTCGGGAAATGAGATGGTGTGAAGAAAATTTTAAACTATGAGAAATTTAAACTATGAAATGGTAAAGTACCTTCAGAGCTGCTAAGGCCAAACATTCCTCAGATTGCTCGACCGACAGCTTGGGGACGGTGAAATTGTTAAAGAAGGCAGAGGTAGACCAAATCTGGCTTACTGAGCAGCCACCTCTTTCTACAACATCATGAACCGGATCCGCCAGTGAGATCCGGTCAACCTGGTCAGACAGCTGGACGGTGGGTATATCACCCGCACCCTGACCGATTTCTTGAGCAGCTTGGAAGTGCTCGGGAAATTGTTGCATTTGATCAGAACCAAACCGATCATCGACCAGCATGACATCGTATTGGTCCTGATGGACATGTTGTATTGGCCGTGGCTCTGGAACTGATTGAGAAGACCCAGCATCCTGAGCAGTAACAGTAGAGGGAATAGGTTGGGGGTTCTTCCTGGCCTTTTTCCGCTTACCAACCCCACCAGCTGCCAGAACTCTGCTGTTATCCATGGATAGGTCTGGATTTGGTGCTGAAAAATGACAAAGGAAAATGTTAGTACCGAGCGGCCTTGACATGTGAGAAACTAAAAAATAGATGAGAACGTTTCTCGCACGGGAAGGACCGCCCGAACCATGGCACTTGATTTCTCAAAACAAGTAAATCCAAGAGAACGGGCAATACCTATCCCGGCTTCGATTAGCCGATCGGGAGTCAGATAACTCATGACATCCATGCATTTATCCTTCTCCACAGCAAGCACATCCTTGTAGATTTCTTCAGTGAGGACTGGATCAGGAGTTTTGCGGGGAAAGGCATTCCATTTGCGAGGAACTAGGCCGCCCGGGACAGATACAAAGAAAAACCGGTCATTCTACCCTTTGATTGAAGTTGGATTGCCCTTGAACAGAATATGTCCCGTTCGGGCACTAGTGGCCAGATAGCCGTGGGTTTGTTGAGGGGCTACCTTAAAAAATTGATGGAAGAGATCTAAGGTCGGTCGGGCACCGGCATCTTTACAGCGGCAAATAAAACCCGCCATTGCCCGATAGGAATTCGGCATAATTTGGGCCGGTACAATTTCATAGAAATTAAAAAATGAAATGAAAAAAGAATGTAGCGGAAACCTAAGCCCGACCCTAATTGAGTCAAAATGAACTACAACCATCCCGGGCCTATGACGCATTGGGTGAAGCCCAGCTTGCAGTCGGAAATTCACTGGGTCTGGGATTAGGGCCGGAATTTCGGCCCTATTGTGGGAGGTCAATTTTTGCCGCCTCTCCCTAATCAGTTTTAGGTCAAGGGTATGGCGGGGGAAATCGTTGGGACGTCCGGCCGCCATGGAAATTAGTTCATCCTCGGACTTGGTATCATCAGAATCTTCGCTGGAGGAAGAAGAGCTGCCGGAGGAGTCATCCGTCTCCGCCCTAACCTTCGCCGTCGCCGCCTTGGAACCTTCATCAAAAGGGACGGTGATAATCTCCACATCACGGTCCTCCCCTTGAGAAGCCATTTCCGAATCAGAACACCGTTGGGAATTCATCTCAACCGAGTCAGGGATGAGGCGAGAAAGCAAGGGAGGGAAAGTACTTGAGCGAAGAAAGCCGGGAGAAATTTCAGAGAGTAGCAAGGCGAAGAAAATTGCAGAATCGAAATCCGTATTTGAAAAGTTAAAGGCTAATTTATAGCCTTTGAACCGCCGTGTCAAGAACCAATCAGGGAGCGACACGTCACTAGAAGCATTTAAGCTAGACGCGTGTCTAATGAAAAGACTAAACGACGGTTATCATGATGAATATGGGGAAATAAAACGATAACCGTCAAATCACAGTATGGGGAACTGATTACTTCTGTACCCCGATCACCATTCGACAAATTGCAACATTGGTATTCATACTTCCTAATGCACTCACTATCATTCGAGACATTGGAAGTGGGGGACTTGTGTTGGGATATTGATCCAGAGGCCCAATACCCGGATAAAAAAGGCCCAAGATACCCGACCCAAACAACGAGCCCATCACTCTATGATGAGTAGATCCAGTGAAGAATTCATGCCGAACGAGGTTCGGCCCAAGTAAGGGCCAGCCCAGAAAGAAGATATACCGAACGGAGTTCGGACTACACATCATACTTGGGCCAATTTAACAGCGTCTTCAGCATGGTCCAACATCCAGTTCGAGCAACGGACAACCAGCAAGTGGCCAGGTGCAATTAATGCCAGATTGTGACATCAGCAAGTGGAAACATGGGTGACCAAGTCGGTGGAACATAAGCCAATCAGCATAGAGCAACCCATGCTCTCCATTAGTATAAATAGAAGGTTTAAAATCATTGTAAGGTTTAACATTTCAATACTCAGGCTCTAGAATAGCATTATTGCTCTTATCTCTTGTATTAAAGCATTATTTCGACCTACCGATCGGGAATTTCCTTGTAATAAGACAGGTTAATTAATACGAGTGGGCTTTTGAGTGTTAGTGAGTTCACATTTTATATTTGGTTATACACTTTGATTCTGTACCATTCCTAATATATCCAAAATTCGTGTTGGGTTTTCGGATCTACGAGACTTACCTTCAACAATTTCATTGAGTGCAAGAGAGATTAATCATAAGCAACTCACTATCACGATTTTATGGAAGAGAATATACTAAAATAGAATTACTTAAAACTTTACAATAATGACATATACTTTGCATATGGTTAAATATAATGAATAAAAATTTGACTTTTATCTAAAAATGACTGTAATAATAAATTTTACTAGGTAAGAATTACATTTATATTCAATTTACATTTTGAATGTGAACTTATGCACATGTTAATTTTAAAACATATTAGTGGTCTGTTTCGAAGAATTCAAAATGTAAACTCTTTCAAAACAATTTCAACTACTAAAAAAATCAAAATATTCAGATAACTTATAATAGAAAAATCAAAGTTGCTTATAATAACCTGTTGTAATATTCTTGAAAAATCTTCTTTTTAAGAAACTTTTACTGTATCCATTCCGTCCGGTAGAAGGCCAGCAAAGCTGCAGCATAAGAAATACTCCGTATATACGGAACAGAGTATAAAGGCTAGGAAGGGCACGAGTTCTATCCTCCAAACGGTTTCTCAATCTTGTATAGAGCAGCAGTTGAATTTCTAAAGAAGAAAATGGTTAGTAGTCCCTCCTTACTCCGACAGCATTTCCTTCTTCAGGTTGGTTGAGTCTCTTAATTGGATTATTGATTAATGTGGTTTTCCTGGGTCGCAGTTGTTTTTCTCGTACTTCAAAGATTTGGTAGGGAGAGAAGTGACTGTGGAACTGAAGAACGACTTGGCGATAAGGGGAACCCTTCACTCCGTGGACCAATACCTTAACATTAAGCTCGAGAATACTAGGGTTGTTGACCAAGACAAGTTCCCTCACATGGTAATTTCCCTCCTTTTCAGTTGATTGTTGCTTTTGTTTCCTTTTACATTTTCCAGGGTTTTCTCTTTATTCTCAGTAATGCTTTTTTCTTTGCTAGGGTTTATCATTCTGTAATTAGGGGTTTTTCTTATGTGATCCGTTTCAATGGTTTGTTTTCTTATTCTGTGAATTGTGCACCTGTTCCTTTGATAATTTCAGCCCAGTTCATGTGTTAGTATGCCTTTTGAAGTGTTGTGTAAAAGTGTTGGGTTCTAGAGTTCATTGGAGGAATTTTACCTCTGGAGGGGGTGGGATGTCACAATTGAGATGTCTTATTATGCTAGTTTTTTATGTATTCTACTGTGTTTATTGAACTTTGGATATGCATGAATGCGTTGTTCCTCACAACAAAGATCCTAGATATCCCCTTGCACAAAAAAGATCCTAGTATGCCTTTCTTCTCTTATTCTTTTCCTATTTTCCGACTTTTCTTAATCATGCTCTCCTGCTCTTTTCCTCCAATTGCAGATAGAGCAGTTTGAGCTCATGCTCTCCTTTCGTTTATTATAAGTTGATTACTTGCCTAGTCTGAGTGCATGACTATATGTGGTACTGACCTAGTTTTGTATTCCAAGGAAAATAAAGGCAACATTAAAATTGAAAGAATTTCCTAAATAGGAGTAAAAAAGTTTTGAAATTCCAAAATAGGAGTATCATGTTTTTTATTCCTTAAACAAGAGTAAATTTATGCCAAGTTTGACATTACTGGGCTTTAAAACATGGCATTGTTTTCCAAACTTGGCAGATTACTCCTATTAAAGGAATAAAAAACATGATACTCCTATTTTGGAATTTCAAAACGTTTTTGCTCCTATTTACAGCAATTTCTAATTAAAATTCCAATTTATAGCTAGAAGCTTTCATATTTTAACTAAATGTCTGAAAGCTAATTTTTAATTTTTCTGAGTCATAAAACCAGAAGCCTTAATATAATCTTTTTGGTTGTAATCAGCAACCCTGAATTTTGTAATCATTCTGATAGTCTTAAAATTAGAAGTGTTAATGTTTTAACCATGTAACTAAGTAACTAACTGATATGTTTTAATTTTTAAACTTTAATTTTTAAATTGGTAAATTTAAACTTTACATTATAAACTTTATCACTAACTATTGAACATCTATTTTGTTTCAATTGTGAATGATTATGGTGTTCAATATGCTTGTTGGCCTCATGGCGCTGCACACCTTTTAAAACTAAGTTAGAATTGATTACATGTTTGCACCACCTTCAATCATCTCTAGGCTCTAGCATCTGGTTTTTTTCATGACTTAATATGACATGGTTGTGCTGTTGGCAATAAAAGTGTAAAACAGTTTTCTTCAATTTTGTATAATCTTATTGGGTTTCATTTTTTGCTGGTGATAAGTTATTACGTGCTATGAAAAGCGAGAACCCACAGTGACGGGTTGTGAATAACAGGAGCGAGCAGCAGGTCTCAAAAAGTCACTTCAGGAGTTGGGTTTTGAAAGGGTGGATTTTTTAGAGTCGCACGTCTAATGATATATCTTAGAATTTATATGAATTCATGGAATAATACATTACGTAGTACTCCATATCTGATATACTCCCTCCGTCCCATTCAAAGGTTCTCACTTTCCTTTTTGGGACGTCCTATTTAAAGGTTCCCATTTCTATTTTAGGGAAACAATTAATACTCTTAAATGGCAATTTAATCATCAAGTATTAAAAAATATACATCTATAACATCACCGTTATTTTCAATGACCTCATTATATTATATAACCATCAGAATTATTTCTCAAAATGTACTCAAATTACCATGTTTAATTATTGTCTAAATAACCGTGTCATTTTGCAATGGGAACCTTTGAACGGGACGGAGGTAGTACAGTATTTGAATTGCCCTTTATTTCTTTTTTTGAAACATTCTATTTATCAAGTTATAGATTAATCCCTCCAGAGCCTTCCCCTGCAAAATCCCCCTAAATCCTCCAACCAATCATACCCTAGATGACTAGATTTCTTCTGAAACTTTGTTGTTCACTGCAAAATCCCCCCAAATCCTCCAACCAAATAATCATACCCTGGATGACTAGATCTCTTGTGAAACTTTGTTGTTCACATTCTGTTTGGGATAATATTATGAGGTTGAAGTTATATAGTTCCACCGAATTTGAATTTTTTTGTCCAAATTAGACTTGTCGATGACAAGTTATGCTGTTTAGATATGGGCTATTGACGTAGTTGTGTGATGACTTCCTTACACTATAATCATGTCAAATTTTATGTCAATGGTTGAGAATTTAAAGTGTGTTTTAGTGGAATTTTAAATCTTATTTATGCTGTTTTATATGAATATATGTGCACATGTTTGATCATTTTTCACTTTATCTTAAATCTGTGTTAGAGTACTATAATATATGATCTTACTTTGCTGTGCTGTCAAATTTGCATAGAATCTTGATTTCAACTACCCTGATGACTAATTGCATTTAGGAGTTGAAACTATGGTTTTGGCGGTCCATATATGTGTGTGCTTGATGATTACAGTTGGGTTTCATTATTTCACAATTATTTTAAATCTAAAGAGCAGTACACCAAAATTAAAACTCTTATCTCTTAAACACCGTTGCCATCCTGTGATTAGCTGACCTATGTACCACAGCCGCCTAGATGTAGATTATCTATACTCTGTATATGTGTGCTCTTTATGTTCATTGGCTGGATTTTGAACTTTGAAGGATACATATGTTGTTTGTCTTGCAATCACTAATTGGTTAGCTCTCAGCACAATTCTGCTGAGCGCAAGATGGTATTCATTAACGGCTTGTTTGGTATGGGTATTTAAGTGGGAAGAGATGTGGGATGATTCATTTTTATTAGTTAAAAATGAAACTCATACTTTTGGGGTCACTCCGATATCATGTATTGATTCATGTTAGCCGACCCAAAATTTTGGGGACTAAGGCTTCAATGTTGTTGTTGTAGTAGTTAAATAATTTATTTCTATATACTCCCTCCGCACCCCTATAATTGTCCCATTTTTCCATTTTTGGATGTCCCTTTATTATTGTCCCATACCATATTTGGTAACATTTGTGTGGCTCTAATTCATTCTTACTTTATTTCCACTTTATCAACTCATTACCTTCCGTACCAATATTAGGGGGACGGAGGGAGTATTATTTTATCACCACCTTGTTTTACAAACAGCTAAATGTAGAAAATATTATAAAAACAGTATCACCCTGCCCTAAAAAATCCTCGAACCAAACAACCCTGAAGTTCTAGATCCTGCCAATTAGGGGTGGGCACAAAAAACCGTAACCAACTAACCAAACCAAAAAAACTGAAAACCCGGTGTATTTTTCAGTTAACCGTACCAATTTTTTTAAAATTCACGATACAGTTATGGTTGAAATTATGTTATCATCGGTTAACCACTAAGGATGTTTTTACTTGGACTGTAATTCGTCCCAGACCAGACTTGGATAGTTATAAAAATACAAAGAACCCAGACCAGACCAGATCAACAAATTACAGTCCAAGTAAAAACATCCTAACTGAAATTTTAAATAAATGCTAGTACATGATTTGTAACATGGAACGTACTCGGTAACCACTAACTGAAATTTTAAATAAATGCTAGTACATGATTTGTAACATGGAACGTGCTCGGTGCTCCCCATTCCCCACTGCTGCGGTGAGAATGTCAATTGCAAAAACATACTCTGTATTTAATTGTTCACTTATTCTAAGTTACTGTGGTGGAATATAATACGAAGCATATAATCCATATATAGTATGGGTTGCTCTACATAGCTCTACATATTTCAGAGACCTATAGTGCGTGTTATAGCTCTATATACCTATAGTTCGTGTTGCAGAGAGCTATGTAGCTAGGGCTCTACGTATTTATTAATTTAATTAATTTTTAAGAGTATATGATTAGTTTTAAATCTTTTATATTGTATATATTGTTTTTATTATGCACAGATAAATAAGCATTTTGATATTAAAAAAAGATAAATAAACATATCAAGGAACTAATAAACTATCAGTTTAAAAACAACAATAAAATTGTTACGGTTTATTGGTTAGCCGTTACTCCGTTAGTGGTCAACTGGCACCCGGTTAACCATTGTTATGGTACGCGTAACAATATATAAAATTTAGTAACCAATAACATTGTTAACCGGAAAGGTTAACCAAAATGCGGTTAACCGGTCGTGACCACCCCTACTGCCAATATGTGTTTGGTCCATTTCTGCCACTTTGGGATGTATATGGATACTTATGCAGAATATGTTAATATACAAGTCTTTATCAGTTCACATTATCCTTTTTAGGTTCAATTTTATGTGTCGATTCATGTTAGCCTACCCCAAACTCTTTTGAGATTAAGGCTGGCATGTTGTTGGTATTGTTGTTGTTGTTGGTGGGCAGTGTTGTTAGTTGTTACACAGTATTTCTTTAACCTGCTCTTACATGTTAGTCATCGTGACATGCCATCGCGCTAATATGTGGGGTAGGCATCGTCTCTTCGTCCTCCTACCTATGTACTTCCCTTTCATTTTAATGAACAGGTAGGCTGTTCATGGCTCCTATCCCAACCTATTTTGGTTGGTTTATTCAAAAAACAAAAAAAAAATCACGGCATGCTGTTTAATTCAAATTCAATACCCAAGTTGTTAAGGTGAAAAAGTCCAACATGCCTCCTCTAACATGTGGTGATGACAGCTTTCAGTGAGGAACTGTTTCATCAGAGGGTCAGTGGTGAGGTATGTGCAGTTGCCACCAGAAGGAGTGGACATTGAGCTGCTGCATGATGCTACGCGGAGAGAAGCTAGAGGCGGATAAATTCTAGGAAGGATTAATTAGCTGTGACGAAACACCTCTGGTGACCTCCCAATTTCGTGTATCTTGCGTATTTTAGCTCTCTTTTCTCTGGATTAGTTGTTGATATCTCCCAAAGATATGCAAACATGTAGCTGCATTTTGATATGCACCGTTGACATTTACACACTGAAATTCTGAATGAATGCCTTGGATTGGAAAGGAAAATGTAATCCATTCCCTTTGGATAATGACATGTGTTGCGATAGATATTGCTAGCAAAATATACTGCATCAAGGCTTCCTACAGATCTACACGATCCCTAGATATGGCCAGAAACTTTTTTCATTTTGTGACTAGTGTTACTAATTTCAGATAAACCGGTCATATTAGGGTTGGACCGGGTCTGGGCCGGGACCCAGGATGGGATTGGGCGGGCCTAGGTTTTTGGGTTACAGGCCCGGTCCGGCCTGGGTTTGTACCACTGGGCCGGGTCAAGGTTTTTTTTTTATAAAAAAATTGTTTTTCTAATTTATTGCTACCCCCAACCCCCCAAACCAGCCAGCCCCACCCGCTGAGCAGCCCTTAAAATGGGAAAAAGAATTAGGCCTAGCCGGTCTCGGACCGGCCAGATCGGTCCACCTTTTCAGCAGCCCAAAGTTTGCCCCTAATACCCCGGTTTGGGCCCCAATCCCGGTCGGCCGTGCTGGGTACTGGGCCGGTCCAAACACGGCCAAACAGGCCCAGTACATGCCTAGGTCATATTACTACAATATTACGAACATGTCTTTTTGAAAAACATTGTTCTGCAAAAATTTTACTCCAATCATTTTTTGTGATTATTTTAAGCATTTGTATTTCTTAAAATTTGTTATTTTTCTCGAATATTCAAAGAATTACCTATACGAATAACCTTTTTGCAAAATATAATTTTTGTTTAAAATCGAATAGTAGTTTTGCATTTTTTTTAAAAGATACACAGTAATAAGCTTAGATAAATTTTCACATGTCTTGTTATTTTTTTGGTGAAAAACAAAACAAAAATTTTGGAGAACAATTTAGAGACTTGAATAGAATTTTAAATATAATGAAAATTGTCACTAATAACTTGTGGCATACTTATTAACCCAAATGTCACCACCCAACATACATTAAAGATACTTAAATCCACATTTAGGACACGTTTACTTCACGGGTTAGTAAACGGTGCTTACTAAGACTCGCGTTAATAAGCGGCGCATAAAATAAGCAGTGTTATATAAGCTCATGTTTACTTCAAAGGATTTAAAACACCGTTTAACATTAAAATGTCCAAAATAACCTTATAGATATATACACACACAAACATTAATGAACACAAGTATATATAATCTAATATAATATATGGGGTCACCTCGTACGCTTAGTCGGTTACCCACACCCCTAACCCCTACCCCGCCCTGTACCCCCTCACCCTACCCCTAATTCCACACCCTTGACCCCCACTCCTTCCCTACCCCTACCCTTACCACGACCTTACCCTCCACCCCTACCCATATCAACCCCACCCTAACTTGTAGGGGTTGGGTCAAGGTAGGGGCGGGTGATATGAGGTAAAGGGGTAGGGGTTGGGGTATGGTAATGGGAGGGAGTGGGTGGGATCAGAGTGGGGTCGAGGTAGGGACAGGTGGTAGGGGTAAAAGGGTAGGTCGAGGTAAGGGGTACAAGTGGGGGGTACGGGTAGGATAGGGGTAGGTTCGGGGTAGGGAAGGGGTGGGTCGAGGTAGGGGGTAAAGGGGTGGGGTAGGGGTGGGTCGAGGTAGGGGTAAGGGGTAGGGTAGGAAGGGCGGGGGTAGGGGTAGGGAAAGGGTGGGTGGGGGTGGGTCAAAGTATGTGTTAGTACCCAATTTTGATAGATTTTGATGATGCCACTATACTTAGCACATGTACATTGTGTCTCAATTTTATTAGCATTATGTGACAAAATAAATGTACACTTTTTTGAGACTAATGAAATATTACCGGAAAAGTAAAAATGCAATAATGTAATTTTTTATTTATCTTAATAAGATATTTAGATCCTACCGGGCATATATTATTTAGCTCAAAAGATTAAAATGTCACAAAAGAGGCTAAAATCGTAAATCAAATACATTGAATGTAAATGATTGGAAGACAAAATTAGACCTGCCTTAAATGCTAAAACAGGTACATTGACCCACAACATGGGACGCATGCTTGAAAAAGATGCTCGGCCGATTATTGGAGACAACCTCCATAAATACTCCACCACAAAGAGACAAGAGTACAACTCGTACACACCAATTATTCAACGGAAGAGATCAATCTATCCTAACCAACGGATAAGATTGATTAGCCAAAAAGTCTATAAATAGAGGCCGAAACGAAAGTTTCTAACCAAGCTTTGAGCATCCAAAGTAGAGAAAAATATCCTTCGAGCATTCAAGAGCCATCTAGCAAAAGAGAAAGTGCAAACTTAACTTTACTCTCTGCTTGGACTCATGCTTCACTAAACTTCTAGTTCATAAGCTATTTATTGCTAAATCATAGAAGTTTAGTTCCTAGTTAGAAGTTAGAATTTTCTTGTAACATTTCACAAATTGTTGTAAACACTTAGGAGAACTGTTGTTCGGATCCTAAGGTGTGGATAGATAGATAGAATACCCTTTAATCCCCACTGGATTAATTGAGAAAAATATAAGCACTGAGTAACTCTGAGTGGTGCTATACTCACTGTGAAAAACCTTCAATCTAGGCCTAAGGGTTGTAAAGGCTAGATTGGCACTAAGTGTATTGGGCTTAATACTTTAGTGAAATCCATCTGAAAGAGGGTGAGACTGGACGTAGGAGGATTACACCACCTCTGAACCAGGATACACTGTGTGTTGATTTACATTTATTCAACAAAGCACACACTTAGCACTTCTCACAAAAAGATTGAAGTTTGCCAGCAGAATCCTAAGCAGTTGTCTTAACTGACCCAACTGCTTATCATACTGCTTAATTACTTACCTTCTTTGAGACTATTTTCACACAAGAGACGTGCATCAATATCACTAAAAGGCCTGTTCTATCAGTTTCCAGAAATTCATTTTCTGAGTATAGCAGGTGCCTCAGCAGTCCCCTGGTGACCACCCAACTACTGAGCCCTCTACTCATATACACTTGTTTCTCTTGAAACATCTCAACATCATCAGACTCCCATAACATCATCAATAAGAAGTTTTGCTTAAACTGATCTCTGAAAATCTTATTATAACCTGAGCAGGTGGCTCAGCAGTTCCCTCATTACCACCAAACTGCTGAAATCACTGCTCTAGTAAAACTTCGCTTCACTCCTACTAAAGCACCTTTTTAGACAGTCATCATCATTCTAAAGAATATTCCATAATCCCTTTCGTCAAAAAACCAATATTCCTCTAGCAGTTCCCTGCTACACAGTCAACTGCTAAGCCAACTGCCAAGTCAACTGCCAGTTATCTAAGTCAAACCTTCTCCAAGTTAGAAAGTAGTTATACACTGATTACATAAAGGGTAAAGACTTCCGCTGTGCATCTATAAATCTCTCAAAAGATTATAGATCAACTCTTTAGATGGAGAAACGCTTTAAAGTTGAAAAAGATTTAAAAGTCTATTCACCCCCCCCCCCCTAGACTTTTACCCTATCCGGGACCATCAAGTGGTATCAGAGCGGAGTGTTCCTAGAGTCAATTTCTGACTAATTCGATCTAAAGATCCCAAACCACTATACTTCCCAAACACTTTCTGAAAATGGATAGTCAGATTGCAAAGAATCTATTGTTCAAACAGAACAAGTCTGATGACTCGAAAATCAAGGATATCTGGGATGAGCTCACAATGAACCAATCAGAAGATGATCAAAACAGTACAAATGATGAAGGCAGCTCATCAGAAAGTAAGGAAGAGGCCCTGATTTGCCTCTTTGGAATGCACCAAGTTGATAGCTCCTCCCACAACTGTCCCATGGACAGATTGAATGAAAATGACAATGATGAGGTATTATCCTGTTCTTCAAACAACTCATATGATTCCAGCTGTTCCAGTGTTGATATGGAAGCATTGATCCATCAATTTGAAAACTTTCAAAAAGATCACCTTCTTTTAATGAACGAAAACTGTAGACTTCAAGAAAATCTAATAGTAGCCCAAGCTCAAATGGGTGAAGTAATAAAAATGAAAGATTTTCTTGAACTTGAAAACATTAGTTTAAAAGAAAGGCTGAGCTCTCTCTCTCTCTCTCTCTCCCTGTTGCTGAGAAAGTTCAACACAACTGGAAGAACACAGGATTAGGATACACACCTTTATCCCAACCATTGAAAGACTCTCCCAAATGCTCTCCAATCACAAAACACACCACATGTCAACAAGAAACAAGAAAACCAAACCAACAAAATCCCCACTCCCAAACTCTGTAAAATACTACCTTCGTCCCAAAAAACTTTATCATTTCAAAAAAATTGAATATTGATTTTGATTAGTATAATATTATGGAAATTATAAATTTAATACTTTTATGAAAATACTTTAATAAAGAACATTTTCATATAATTTTTATATTATTGATAATTTTCAATAAAAAGATATAGTCGGTCAAAATTTTGAAAATGACATAGTTTTTTGGGATGGAGGTAGTAAAAGAAACCAGTCCTCTCCCAGATCCAAAACGAAACTTCCTTACAAACCCAACTTCCAGAATAACCAACCAAATCAAAGGCTTGGTTGGCAACCAATCAAGAGGACCAACTACATTCCACATAAAAAGCTAATCACTCCTAATACACATATTCCTTCCCCTTTCATAAGGAATAATGTTCACAAATATATAGCCATTTCCTTATGATTACAATACTCCGAATGGCTATAGATCCATCAGCTTAGATCCAAATGGTCATAGAAGGGCATGGATGCCCAAACCTATTCAAAGGAAGATGCCCACTAACTTGTGGGCTGCCACTCAAAACTGACAAAAACGGGAAGGTGCTGAAGCAGCCAATGTGCAAGAATGATATGAAATATTCAAGCTGCTCCATGCACATGACAGGCAGCAGGAGGCTACTGTCAATGCTATAGATCTGGAGAAAGAGGAGAAAGTAAATGAGCTGGAAAATCCAATGAGATGCGGTCCTTCAATCCAAAACATATCATATGGGATTGAAGACTCAAACTCATAAAGCACAATCCAGCTCCGCGATAACATTCACAATGTGACATTCTCCATGGATATCTGCTTGATCAGAGATGTCCAAAACAACAAAATTGTGCTAACTGGTAGAAGAAAGAAGGATACTGGAAAGGCTCCAAGCTGCCTTCCCAGC